AACAATCCTAACACATAGGTGAGTCAGATTGGTTTCCAACTGTGCATTTGTCATTCTGGCCTGTGGCCTTAACATGAACTGGCACCTGGTCTCCAGGCATCACAGTCATCCCTGACAGCATCAAATTTGTAGGTTAAGTGTGATCCCTTCAGATCTTTGGTATGACAGCTGCCTAAAGAGATCTGCTGCTGCTCACAGTGACTTTAGGTCTCCATTACTTTCGTATCTGACTCTTGCAACTTGCACTCCCTTTCCTGAAACACTTTGTGTTTCTTCCATTCAACAGCAAATCTAGCTGGTTAGACTGGGAGCAAATTAAAGCTGTCTTCAAAGATGTTCACATCAATTCAGTGTATCTCTTTCACTTCCTCAAGGCTTACATTCATATGTTCAGTAAAGATTCTTGTTCAGCAACCCTGTCCTTAAACTTTTCAAGCGTTCTTGTTCATTGAAGGATAGAATTTATTCTGTGCAGGTTCTTAACTGGAGGAAGATCTCTGGGAGATTTGGAGCAGGCACTGAACTCCAGGATCAGTTGGATACTTTCATTGAATGCCTTCAGGATTTCTTGACTCTTCACCTCACAAGACTTAGTTATATATTATTTTGTCTTGATAGTCAGGATGGGAGCTGCACTGTAGTACCATAGGTGCCTGTCCTAAAGAGTTTACCAAAAGCAGTCATGATCAGCAGGACTCTTACTCTTTATTGAGCACTGTTAAGAAGGGTAGCCAGTTAAATGTACTAAGAAGTAAGATGTTTAATGTTAGTCAGGCAGTTCATACCCCTATCATATTGATGACCAAAGGAAGGGCCAGTCTTTAAATGGAGTGAGCATTGCTTGTTTTCCGCTGTGCTTGATGGATTGTTAATGGGAAGCTCCAGGGATAGAGTGTGCTTAGAGCAGAGATGTGACCATAAAAATTATCATTTAGCTACCTTTTACAGTGACAATAAGGATGAGAAATTGAAGGTGTGAGCAAAATTACACACCATAGGCAAATAGGTAAGTAGAATGTAGCGTAAATAGTTTGTAATTGAGGGACCACAGCTCAAGATCCTTCATTGCCATTGATGAGAGGGTGTTCCTCAAGCTGCCTGCTGAGTGCCAGACTAATTCCACCTTTGCTTTTGAGTGACTTTTGTATCTGCTGGGGCCAGTGGGCAGTGCTGTTTTGTATTTTGTTTCAGTGATTCTTTCTGTGATTCCATTTGTCCCCAGAGTGTGTTCCAGTCCCAGAAAAATCTTTGTGTTTCTCAACTGTGAGCATGACTCCAAATTTCACTGAGAGGAACACAGCTGCTGCTGCTTCACTTGCTGTCAGAAGAGTTCAGGGATTTTACCATCTGGAAATGGGGATAGAATCAGGATCCATGCAGCGGGTGGGCCATTGTTACCCCCAAAGATATGAGGAAAGGTCCAGATGACAACAACCTGATAATAACCAATGTTGGGAGCAGGAGGGACTGATGAGGCAGCAGATGGAGATCATTTCCAGGTTCTAAATATGCCTTACAATCCATTTCTTTGTACAGGCAGTCCCCGGGTTACGTACAAGATAGGGACTGTAGGTTTGTTCTTAAGTTGAATTTGTATGTAAGTCAGAACTGGTACATATTGTAGGGGAAACTCTAGCCAAACATTTCTCCAGAGCTCAGTTTTATTCTCCCACACCTCACTTCCCTCAGTCCTTTATTCTCAAGCTGAGGTGTCTGCTGAGAAAAGCCGCTCCGCGTCTCCCTGGTCTGCTGGGGGGAAGCAGCTAGTGCGGGGTTGCCTCACCCCGTTTCTAAGTAGGGATCCGATATAAGTCGGATCCATGTAACCCGGGGACTGCCTGTATTTACATTTCTAGAACATTTTGTGCCCAGTAGGGGGCAGTATTGAGTGGCTTGTAATACTTCCTCTTTTCAGCCTGTGGTATATGCGTGATGCACAGAGCTGAACAATTGCAGGCAGAGCTGCAGAACAGGATCCAGCAGTGTTGAAGAGTTAAGACTGCACTACTCACCTGGGGAAAAGTGAGAGCATGCACTCCTAGGCACTAGACATCCCAGAGTTTGGCTCACCCTCATTTTGTTTGGATATAAATGAGAAGGAGAGAAGTGGCCCAGGAGCTGCAACAGAAATAGCAGGAAAGGGAGTATCTGAGAGGAGAGAGGATGGGAAGGAAGGGAACTGGAGAGGAATAAACCAGGTACCGTAAGAGGGGGAAACTGAAGAACTATGAAATGCCAAAGACAGAGAGGACATTTCAGAGTTAAATATTTTATTACTAGCAAATTAGCCCATCATAAGATGGGATTTTCAGGTCTCTCCTCCACGTCAGTCTTCTCTCCTGAGCCTCCAGTCTCTCACTCCATCTCTCTCTCTCTCCTCCTCCTCCTACTGCCTTCCCCCTCCCCCTCTCAGCTCTCCTCCGCCTCCTGCCCCCCCCCCCTCTGTTTCTCTTCGTCTCCCCCTCCTGCCTCTCACTCGGGGGACTGCGGAGCCCAAACAACCGC